TTGTTTTTATTTTTTGGTGGTAAGGTTTTTAATCACCAATCCAATTTATAAAGATATAAGGCTATTCAGATTTTCTATTTCTTTACAGTTTTGGTAATTTGTGTCTTTCAAGGAAATTATCTATTTCATCTAAGCTGTCAAATTTATTGGCATAAAATTGCTCATAACATCCTCTAATTACCTTTTGAATCTGTGTAGAAACTTTAGTGATATTTCTTCTTACAGTCTTGGTACTGGTGATTTGTGTCTTCTTTCTTGACTAAACTCGACAGAGGTCAATCAAGCTTATTGATTTTATTTCAGAGAAACAGCTTCTGGTTTCATGGATTTTTCTCTACTCTATGCCCATTTTTTATTTCATTGATTTCCACCATTACCTTTTTTATTTCCTTCCTTTTACTTATTGTAGATTTACTTTTCTTTCTCTAGTTTTCAAAGGTGGAAGATTTGATTTTAAACCTTTCTTTTAAGATAAGCATTTACAGGACTTCCCTGGTGACGCAGTGGTTAAGAATCCACCTGCCAATGCAGGGGACATGGGTTCGAGCCCTGGTCCAGGAAGATCCCACATGATGCAGAGCAACTAAGCCCGTGTGCCACAACTACTGAGCCTGAGCTCTAGAGCCCGCGAGCCACAACTGCTGAGCGCACGTGCCACAACTACTGAAGCCTGTGCGCCTAGAGCCGGGCTCCGCAACGAGAAGCCACCACAATAAGAAGCGCGCACATCGCAACAAAGAGTAGTCCCCGCCCGCCGCAACTAGAGAAAGCCTGTGTGCAGCAAAGAAGACCCAACACAGCCACAAAAAAAAGAAAAAGATAAGCATTCACAGCTATACATTTTGCTCTAAGCACTGCCTTCAATGAATTCCACAGATTCGAATGTTGTGCTGCCACTATCACACAGCGAAACTTATTTTGTAATTTTCTTTGTAATTTATTCCTTGACCCATGGATTATTCAGAAGGGTGATATTTAATTTTCAAAATTTCCGGATATGTGCTATTTGATTTCTACTTCAGTTCTGCTGAGGCCATAGAATACTCTCAATATGATCTCGATCATTCTAAGTTGACGGAAATTTGTTTTATGGCTGATTATTTGGTATATCTTATTGAATATCCCAGTAATGAAAAGCATGCTTTCTGGTACAGCATTCTATGTCACTTAGGACAAGTTCACTGATAGTGTTGCTCAAGTCTTCTATAGCTTTTCCATTTTATTTTTTTTTGTCTACTTGTTTTATCTTTACTGAAAGAGGAGGGTACTATTTAATATCTTTCCATCTACTCTTCCTCCTGAAGTTTACATCATCTGATATTAATAACCACTCCAACTTTCCTGTGATTAGTGTTTGTGATAGTATATCTTTTTCCATCCTTCTACTCTTTTTTTTGGGGGGGGGGGTAATGTCATGTGGCATGCGGGATCTTAGTTCCCCAGCCAGGGATCAAACCATCACCCCCTGCAGTGGAAGCACAGAGTCCTAACCATTGGGTCGCCAGGGAAGTCCCCCATCCTTTTACTCTTTTTTTTTTAAGAGAAATTTTCCTTTTTTAAATAATTAATTAAAATTTGGCTGCACTGGATCTTTGTTGCAGTGTGCGGGCTCTTCATTGTGCACAGGCTCTAGATCAATGGGCTCAGTGGTTGTAGCACACAAGCTTAGTTGCCCCACAGCATGTGGGATCTTAGTTTCCCAACCAGGGATCAAACCCAGGCCCCCTGCATTGGCAGTGTGGAGTCTTAACCACTGCACTACCAGGTAAGTCTCTCCCCATCCTTTTGCTCTCAGTCTCCATATTATCTTTAAGTTTTCTTGAATTCTTGAGCATATTTGTAATTGCTCTTTTTAAACGTTTTGTTGGTCAATTTTAAAAAGTGTCCTTTCTGGGTCTGTTTCTATTGCCTAGTTTTTCTTCTGGTTCTTCTTCTGGTATCATTTTCTGCTTCTTTGCATGTATTGTAATATTTGATGGGATGCTGGAAATTCTGTATGCTACACATCGCTGAGCATCTAGATTTTGTGTCTCTCTTTAAAGAATGTTGAGTTTTGATTTAGCAGGCAGTTAAATTAGTTGTGAATCAATTTGATCCTAAATTTTTTCCTTTTAGCCTTTATTAGGGCTTGTCTAGTTTAGCTCCACTACCAAGGTGTGACCCTTCTGAAGTCTCTATTAAATGTCCCAAGGTGTCCAATTAGCTTTCTCCGTTTTGGATAGCCAGAACTCCCAAACTTATTTAAGCTCTGGCAATTCTTCAGTTCAGTTTTCCAGTAACTGTTTTTTCCTTATTAGATGTTCTTTGCCCATCTTTGTGGGGTCTCAATATGTGCATATATAGTTTACTATTCAGCCAAATTTGTGTAGATTTCTGTAGCCCTTTTTTGAATAGCTCCCCGCTCTCCAGATGCATATTTAGCCATGCTGGTCTCCCTGAACTTTGACCTCTTTCTCTTCAAATCAGCCAGAACTTTGTGCTGTGCTTGGGTTCCTTCTCCTTGTGCCATTATCTCGAAAATGCCATCAAGCAGAAAGCCAGGGAAATCATAAGGCTCACCTCGTTTGTTTCTCAGTCCTGCTCTGCATGTTGTCCAACATCTAATACTGCTTGTTTTCTATGTTTTGTACAGTTTTAGAGTTGTTTACAGCAGGAGGGCAGTGACTGTAATCATCAGAAGCAGAAGTCTCCACCTTTGATTTTAAAGTTTGTATCTTTTTTCTTTTAAACTATGTTTAATATACACTAAGTCCCCTACATATGAACCTTCAAGTTGCAAACTTTCAAAGATGCAAACGTGTGTTACATCAATGTCAGGCGTGAGTGAAACTGCAGCTTGCCCTCCGTCTCCTACTGCTGATGATCCTTCAGCTCTACTGTCTCCCACCTCCTCTCCCTCCTCCAGTCAGTAACTCTTCTTGCTTGTTCACTCGATGCCAGCCTCTGTATGCCAGCTGTTGTACTGTACTACTGTACTTTTCAAGGTACTGTACTGTAAGATTAAAAACGTTTTCTTTATTTTTTGTGGTTTTTTAAATGTATTATTTGTGTGAAAAGTATTATAAATCTACACCGTACAGTACTACATAGCTGATTGTGTCAGTTGGGTACCTAGGCTAACTTTCTTGGACTTACAAACAAACTGGACTTAAGAACATGCTCTTGGAACGGAACTCGTTTGTATGTAGGGGACTTACTGTATTTCTAAAGTCACTAGAACATGCAAAATTCTGAACATTAACCAATGCTTATTTGATAATTTTAAGATATTATGGAGTTTTTTTAATAGGAGTGGTAAAGTTAATGTGCTTATGTTAAAAGCTTTTATCTTTCAGAAATGCATATTTTAGAAATGCATATTTACAGATTAAATAATACAGTGTCTAGGGCTTTTTTCAAAATAAGACAAAATGAGTAAGATAAAATGGCAGGGGTATAGAAAAAACAAGACTAGCCATAAAGTGACAAGTTCTGTTATCAGTTTGAAGCTGGGTGAAAGGTTCACTATACTATTTTGTCTAGATTGGCATATATTTAAATTTTTCATAGGAAATCAAAAGTCAGTAGAAGTAATATCTGTGTGGTTATACCTCCAACTTGATATGGATCGGTTCATGTGTTCTATTTTGTTTTCAATTTTTAGGGACTGCTTTTTTTTTTTTTTTGACTTAATCCATGTTTCAGTTATATAAAATATTTACATTTAATTTTAAAGTAAAATTACAAAACATGATACTTCAGAGGTTTCCCTTTCATTCTTGTCTCTTCTTGGTTTTTCCCTCCCTATAAGTAACCATTTTATTCATTTTTGATGATTTTTCCATTGTTTCTTTTGAAAATATAAATCCTCAGACACTTTCTTGAATTAAAAGTTAACAAGTTGTGGGATTTCTCTGGCCACGCAGTGGTTAAGAATCCGCCTGCCAATGCAGGGGACACAGGTTCGATTCCTGGTCTGGGAAGAGCCCACATGCTGCAGAACAACTAAGCCCGTGTGCCACAACTACTGAGCCTGCGCTCTAGAGCCCATGAGCCACAACTACTGAGCCCGTGTGCCACAACTACTGAAGCCGGGGCGCCTAGAGCCCGTGCTCTGTAACAAGAGAAGCCACCACAATGGGAAGCCCGCACACTGCAACGGAGAGTCGCCCCCGCTCGCTGCAACTAGAGAAAGCCCGCGTGCAGCAACAAAACCCAACACAGCCAAAAATAAATAAAATAAAATAATTAAAAAACAAAGAAGTTAACCAGTTGTAACCTCAAAGAAAGCAATAAAATAAACAATGTGTACCCTGTGCTTGGAGTGTCTTCTACTTTCCCTCATTCAAGCAATTCTAAAGAGCCCATCTCTTTCATGAGGCCTTTTTGAAAAACAGGAGGATCCACTGACTAATCCTGGCCACTCCCTGTGTAAACATCTTCTTCACCTTCCAATAGGCAACAATTTCCCTGCATAATATTTAAATGTTATTTGATACATGTTATTACCAATAGATCCTTAGGCTGAATGTTTTTTATGTCTACCTTCTTATGTCTATTGGGTCTGTGACAGTAAACTCTGAAGGATGGAGGATTATGCTTTCTTTCTTTTATATTGTGACTGACACAAGACACTGTAGTTTTAAAGAGTCATTTAATAAACACTCTCTATATTGATTACTCTAAGCTATGTTTAAGATTTTACATCTTTTTATAGCATCACCTGTTTATGTGTCTTTTGAACGATAGCTACTAGTGACTTTTTCAAATATAGTAGTCCTATATTAGTATTCCCTACTGCACATTCACTGACTACAATTTTAAGTTTTCTTTTAAAAATCAAAACAGAATTTGAGCCAAATTCTAAAATAAGTATCTTATTCCATTTCTAAATTTAAACATTTTTCCTCTATAAAACCAAAATGAAATTTGCTAAATATATTTAGTAGTCTGCATTAAAAGCTAGTATAGGCAGGACACAAGAGGCTATGACTTACCCTTCTAAAACATAAAATACTTACGCATCTGTAGTCTTTGTACACCCATTGAGATTCAGTACTTCAATGTTCCTACAGTTTTGTGCAAAGGTCCTTTACAGGAAAGAAAGTAAAGAGTTTGAGGTAAAACGGGCACAATTCTCGGCATTAAAGAAATAATGGAAGATACCAATAGTGGTAATAATGGATATTACTGGTACAAAATGGTACAAAAAGTTGTTCACAATTACGAATAAATTACTTTTCAACCATAAACTTTTAAACATCAATCTTTTTGTCAACCAAAGTTAAAATTATCCTAACTTCGAGTAAACAAACTTAAAAAAATTTACTCAAGGCTCCAAACGAACCATTTATAATATGGGGAATCTGGCTTTTTGTGGGGAGCACTTGTTCTTGTTTTATTCTCAAAACCACACATCCCACTACTGGATATTTGTGTTATAAGCAGTGAACGTGTATTTGGGTTCTGAATAGCTTAGGAATATGAAAACTATTCCAGCCTTTTCTGGGTGAGACAGTGCTGTGTTCGGTGTTGTTCTTCACTTCAGTCAAGAAGATGAGTTAATCGATAGCTATGTTTTTACCTTAATGCATTGTCTCCTACTCCGAGACACCCACGAAGACTTAACTTTCGTAAAAAGCCCCCACACCTTTTTGAAATATTCTCCACTACCCGGCCCTGTAAAAAAAGAAGACAGGTATACAAAGATAAGCCACCACATTGTTTTTGAAAAGACCACATCCTCGTTTTTAAGAGACTTCTACTCATTTTAAAGACCTAATTAAATCAATATGAAATTTTCAACTTACTGGGAGAAAGCTTTCCTGATTAACCCATCTACTTGAAACATACCTAAACCCTATATTGTTATTTACTTTGTTCCTCTTGTAAGGTACTCTGTATTTCAGGAAATGGTGCTCTGTAGTTCTCTTATGCCACTACATCAATGTAGACTCCCCTCCTGCAGCCACAGGACATTAACTGTCTCTATTATTTCTGTGTATTTACTATAGTACTCTAAATACAGCAGAGACTCAATGAACACTTCACAAAAGCTTGCTGAATGGTTTTGTAGGCCAGGCTGCTTTAAATATTTACATCCATGAAGATCAGAGAATTGTGAAAAACAGAAAAATCCAGCATGTCGTTGGGTATCATTTTAAAAGTACTTTATGGGACTTCCCTGGCAGTCCAATGGTTAAGACTTCGCTTTCCTATGCAAGGGGTGTGGGTTTGATCCCTGGTTGGGGAGCTAAGACCCCATATGCCTCGTGGCCAAAAAACCAAAACATAGAACAGAAGCAATATGGTAACAAATTCAATAAAGACTTTAAAAATGGTCCACATCAAAAAAAAAGTCTTTAAAAAAAATATTAAAAAATAAAAGTACTGGGCTTCCCTGGTGGCGCAGTGGTTGAGAGTCCGCCTGCTGATGTAGGAGACGTGGGTTTGTGCCCCGGTCCAGGAAGGTCTCACGTGCCGCGGAGCGGCTAGGCCCGTGAGCCACGGCCGCTGAGCCTGCGTGTCCGGAGCCTGTGCTCCGCAACAGGAGAGGCCACAACAGTGAGAGGCCTGCGTACCTCATAAAAATAAATAAATAAAATAAAATAAAAGTACTTTATGAAGATAATGTAAAGTTCATGTGAAGTTTTTTTTAACTTCTTACATGGATTCTCAAGACCACTAAGTTCCAATAGAACTTAAAAAAAAAAACAAACCCAACAGAAAAAAAAGCTAAATCTAAATCTTATTTAATCCTTATAACACAGTGAGGAAGCTATTACTTCCACTCTCCAGATGAGAAAACCAAGGACTACAGAGCTCAAATTCAGGTTAAAATAATTTAAGCTTAAGCCATTCTTCTCCATTTTAAAGAAAATAGGCAATACTAAGAGATAAAATATGGGGGAGAAGTGAGAAAGGAAAAAATCTCTCCCCAATAAAAGTAATCCAATTCATTCTCTAGAAAAACTATCTATAGGCTCCCCCAGAACCCAAAATGCTCATCAAGAAGAATTTATGCAGATATCATGCTCTAATAAATTAACTCCACTTATTTTTAAATAAACAAATATGAAAAGACTTCCTTAAAAAGAGCAAACAAAGGTTCACATTTCCACCACAAAAATAAAAACAAAAATTTCTGAGTCCTATTAACACTAAATAACTCAGTATTATTTCAGTAAAATAATTCTGCTCATTCTCAAAAACTGAACCAGTTCTTGGGAAAATTGCAAGCTCCCAAGAAGTTCAGATGCGCTGAAATGAACAGTCTCTCTCCAGGGAAAGGAGATTTACGTGGTTGGGGCTAATCTGTCCTATATGCTGCAATTACATTCTAACGAGAGAGATGGGGCCACACACCACACAGTCATACCTCGATATCCCTCTGGAAATCAAACAGGTCAATTCGCTGCCAGTTACTGCCATCCAGAGCCAGAACATTCCAGGCCTATTTTGAAGAAGAAGAGACAGAATGAACAGAAGCTGAAATGAAGGGGAAAAGCTAGCAAAATTCAAGTTCACAATTCAACCCACTAATGATTGAAACTGACCAAAAAATTTCTTAGCACCTCTACCATTAACTCCCAAAAAGTCAGTCTTATTTCTGATTCATACTTTATTCTCCAAGTAGATTATCTCATAAATGAGTGGGTACAGAAATTAGTAGCTACGAAATATCTTACATTAGCGGGCTGGGGAAAGAACAGGTTGTGATAAGTATCACAGCCGGAAACTGTTTTCTAACTTGAGTTTCCAATCTCAAAATGAGATAATCCAGCTAATGAAAAGCAAGTCTGTTACTCTATCCCTCAACTAGGAACGAGGTGAGTGTGAAACCAAAGAAAGAAGATGGCACTCTGAATGTAGTGTGTTCAATACATATGCTATGTTCAATAAAAATATGCTATTCATAGCATCACTTGTTTGGACCCAAAACTGTGATATGGTGACCTGGGATTTACAAAAGACACTATCATTTCTCAGTATACATGACAGAGACTTAATGCTTTCCTCATTACCAATTTGCTCACTCAGGCATGTTTTTCAATTGGTCATCTTTTCCTTCAACTTGATTCAGTGGTAATTTTAAACACTGAAAGTTTTAAGACTTCTCATACATTTCTTTAATTACCTAAAGAGAGGCAAGAAAACTTCCAAGATTTTCAACCTTTCAGGATAAGGTGAAAAATAACTCCACTAAGAGTTAACCTTTAGCGGATCGTTCTGTATTTTAATCAGAAAGCCTTTAAACGTTTTCCCTACTAAATTTAAAGTGTAAACAAAAGTCTTAACACTGTTAAGTTATAAACTTAGAATATTATCTCTTACTACAACAATTCAAAACACAGATTCGATACTGAAATTCTAAAACGGAAATTAAAGATACACTTATAAGCCCCAGGTAACTATCACACAGTCAGTAAGAAAGATGTCAGGGGTATGAGGGTAAACAAAGTTATTATTATAGAAATCTTTAAGGTTTTCTCAGGATTTCAATGTTACTTTTCTTTTTGTGGCTTCATATTTTTCCAACAGTTTCTTAAATGGCTCCATGGGAGACAAGAGATAAAACTTTTAAAGATCATATGTTTACTAGATTCTTGGGCTAACTGTATCTCTGATTTGATACTACTCATTTCCTTATACTACTTTCTTCAGCAAGCAGGACACATGCTAAAGTGAGGCTAAAATTAGGAATGACAGGTTCCTCTCTAGAGTTTTTTTTTTTTTTTTTTTTTAAAGCAAATTAACTAAATACTTCAAGTACGGAGAATAACAGGCTAACTACCAATGTTCCAATTGTACAGATTTAATGAAAATTGGCATTGTGCTTCCTTTTAAGTTAAAACACATTAAGAAGGAAGAGGAACCTGAACATGAAAACAACAATTAAAACTCACTCAAATCAACATTCTTGAGATGAGACTCTGCAACCAAACAGGTTAAGACACTGGTCTGGGAATTTTGTTTCTCAATGATGACCTCAGCTTCATATGGAGACAAAAAAGAAACCCCACTCATTTGTACCAGCCATGACTAGGGCAACCACTCAGGTACCAGGAACAGAACTGTCATGAACAGAAATCATCAAAATATGCCTGATTGTTTCTTAAATAGCTGAGATACAGATTTAGTATGGCTTTTAGGATGTAGAAATTACATTAAAGTTAGCAAGATGAGGTGGGTTTTCTATGGCAAGTTTTGTGGGTTTTTTTTTTTTTAAAGGGAATTGATGATGGAAATTTGAAGGAAAACCTGGGTCCACTTAACAGAGGTAAACACAATACTCTGATGCTGAGTATTGTGATATAACCATATTACATACTCAGCACCTAGGACTATACCTGGTACATAGTAGGTTCTCAATAAGTATTTGTTAAACATCAAAAAGCCATTGTCCAGTTTATAAAAAGATGATAACTGTACGTACTCATGCATTTTATTAATTATTATATATCTGTATTACAAAAGAGACTATGAATGACTCATAAAGCAACTTTCCCACAACAGAGATTCTATTCTTAATATTAGTGGCAGCAATAAGATTATGTTTCACTGTTTCATCATAGTAATGTCAATTGACAAAAATGGATACGTAAGAGTAATGCAGAAACTGACTTTGAGAATGGAATTTGGTTTGCTCTACAATTTATTTATTTATTTATTTTTTGCTGTACACGGGCCTCTCGCTGTTGTGGCCTCTCCCATTGTGGAGCACAGGCTCCGGACGCACAGGCTCAGCGCCCATGGCTCACAGGCCCAGCCGCTCCATGGCATGTGGGATCTTCCCGGGCCGGGGCACGAACCCGCATCCCCTGCATCATCAGCAGGTGGACTCTCAACCATGGCGCCACCAGGGAAGCCCTACAATTTCTTAAAAATTAAATTCTAGCTATAACCTTTTGAGAAAAAAAATATAGGGAGATATCAAGAGCCTTCCATGTATGTACATAAAATGAATAAGGGAAACATAATGAAATACTATATTATTACAGTTCTGAGTAAAGCCTGTTCTTTTAATTTACATGTTTAGTGCTTTTTCCTTGAAAATGTTTCTTCTGTTTGTATTACACAAATAGTCAAGAATTTCAAAAAGTTAAAGTTAGAGATAGTACATACAGTAGAATTCCACTGTAGAATTAACATGGGTTTGGGTATCCCATGGGTGAAACCACAACCTTGGAAACATAACATACAACTACCATCTGAAGTAAATAGTTGGCCTACTACAGAAGCTGATTATCATTAATGTCAGGAAGGGATGCTCTTGTAATCATGTCAGCCATTCTTACCCTGGAGACCTGAGCACAGCGACACAAGGTTACAACATCCAGAAAAGAAAATATCCTAAAAAGAGATGGAGGAAAACTTTATTATATGATGAATTACTTTCTCTTGATTTTTGCTTATAAATAATTGGCGATGTTAACACATGCACAAAAAGGCAGATGTTCTTTAAACAATAACACAAAAAGCTGGGGCAATTTACAATACTGCCCATAAAAATGTAGGGGGAAAAGGTAATCTTTTACTTGATAACATACGTGTAAGTACCATAATGAGTTCATTTATTCACATCAAGGGATGATAAAATATTTCTGATACTTTTTAAAGTAAAAAACCAATTTCCACATTCTGGTTATCAAAAGAAACAGGCTAGGGGATGGTTATGTTTATAAAGACTTTTACAGCTATGAAGGAAAAAAGATAAAATATTGGTAAAACCTAAAAACGAGCAACTATAAAATGTTAAATCTCTGTATATTTAATTCCAATTTGGGAAATTATAAAACTCAGTTAACACATCAATGTCAGGACACACCACCTAAAATTCTTCTCAGTCTTAGAGAGGCTAAATATTTATTTTGTAGCGTTATTATTTGAAATAATTAATTTGCCTAAAGGACGATAACTCTATACCATAAGCCACCTGTAAAAACAGGTCAGAGCATCCTGGGAATAAAGTGAACGGGTTACTTGTGCCTACAGTTCTCCTTACTCACGAACACCCTTAAAGATCACTTTGATCTGAATAACAAGTAAAGCTCTTGTGCAGGTGGCAAAAGGTACAATATAGCATGTACTTTAAAGACGATATTCCTTGAGATAGCTGGAGTGTTACAAAATGGAGGTCAGGAAGCATTAATCTGGAAACGAATGAAAGCTACACTTTCTTTTCCGTTATTCCTCTGAGTTAGCTTAATAGAGCAAAATTTTGTTATTTAGTGATTAGAGGCTGTCAATCACATTTTAAAGCTTGGAATAAACTGAGTTAATAATTACATCAGACAACGTTATATGCATTTTGTAAATAAAGTTTTTTGAAACTCTTTAAAATTTGGGTAATATACATAAAACTTACCATTTAACCACTTTTAAGGGTATAGTTCAGGGGCATTTAAGTACATTCACACTGTTGGGCCACCACCACCACCATCCATCTCTAGAACTTTCTGATCTTTCCAAACTGAAACTCTGGACACAGTAAACAATGACTCCCCATTTCCCTCTCCCCCAGCCGCTGGCAACCACCACTCGTTCACTCTTTACGAATGTGGCTACTCTAGGTACTTCATATGAGTGGAATCATGGTATTTGCCCTTTTGTGACGGGCTTATTTCATTTAGCCCCAATGTCTTCAAGGTCCATCCATGTTGTAGCATGTAGTATCAAAATTTCCTTCCTTTTTAAAGCTGTATACCACATTTTCTACATCTGTCCATAGATGGAAATGTTGAAACTTTCTTGTTCCCCTGAGGCGGACTTGCTACCACCCTGATGGCTCTCTTTAATAAAATAAATTTCAAATCGCAGAGGAGGAGCCAAGTTGGTGGAGTAGAAGGACGTGCTCTCACTCCCTCTTGCGAGAACACCAGAATCACAACTAGCTGCTGGACAATCATCAACAGGAAGACACTGGAACTCACCAAAAAAGATAACCCATATGCGAAGACAAAGGAGAAGCCACAATGAGATGGTAGGAGGGGTGCAATCACAGTAAAATCAAATCCCATAACTGCTGGGTGGGTGACTCACAGACTGAAGAACACTTATACCACAGAAGTCCACCCACTGGAGTGTAGGTTCTGAGCCCCATGTCAGGCTTCCCAACCTGGGGGTCCGGCAACGGGAGGAGGAATTCTTAGAGAATCTGACTTTGAAGGCTAGTGGGAATTGACTGCAGGACTTCGACAGGACTGGGAGAAACAGAGACTCCACTCTTGGAGGGCACATACAAAGTAGTGTGTGCACTGGGACCTAGGGGAAGGAGCAGTGACCCCAGGGGAGACTGAACCAGACCTACCTGCTAGTGCTGGAGGGTCTCCTGCAGAGGCAGGGGGGTGGCTGTGGCTCACCGTGGGGACAAGGACACTGGCAGCAGAAGTTGTGGTAAGTACTCCTTGGCGTGAGCCCTCCCAGAGTCCGCCATTAGTGCCACGAAACAGCCCAGGTAGGCTCCAGTGTTGGGTTGCCTCAGGCCAAACAAGCAACAGGGAGGGAACCCAGCCCCACCCATCAACAGTCAAGTGGATTAAAGCTTTACTGAGCTCTGCCCACCAGAGCAACAGTCAGCTCTACCCACCACCAGTCCCTCCCATCAGGGAACTTGCACAAGCCTCTTAGATAGCCTCATCCACCAGAGGGCAGACAGCAGAAGCAAGAAGACTACAATCCTGCAGCCTGTGGAACAAAAACCACATTCACAGAAAGAAAGACAAGATGAAAACGCAAAGAGCTATGTACCAGATGAAGGAACAAGATAAAACCCCAGAAAAACAGCTAAATGGGGATAGACAACTTTCCAGAAAAAGAATTCAAAATAATGATAGTGAAGATGATCCAGGACCTCGAAAAAGAATGGAGGCAAAGATGGAGAAGATGCAAGAAATGTTTAACAAAGACCTAGAAGAAGTAAAGAAAAAACAAACAGAGATGAACAATACAATAACTGAAATGAAAACTACAATAGAAGGAATCAATAGCAGAATAACTGAGGCAGAAGAACGGATAAGTGACCTGGAAGACAGAATGGTGGAATTCACTGCCATGGAACAGAATAAAGAATAAAGAATGAAAAGAAATGAAGACAGCCTAAGAGAACTCTGGGACAACATCAAACACCAACAACATCTGCATTATAGGGGTCCCAGAAGGAGAAGAGAGAGAGAAAGGACCCGAGAAAATATTTGAAGAGATTATAGTCAAAAACTTCCCTAACATGGGAAAGGAAATAGCCATCCAAGTCCAGGAAGCGCAGCAAGTCCCATACAGGATAAACCCAAGGAGAAGCACGCCGAGACACACAGTAATCAAATTGGCAAAAATTAAAGACAAAGAAAAATTACTGAAAGCAGAGAGGGAAAAACGACAAATAACATACAAGGGAACTCCCATAAGGTTAACAGCTGATTTCTCAGCAGAAACTCTACAAGCCAGAAGGGGGTGGCAAGATATACTTAAACTGATGAAAGGGAAAAACCTGCAACCAAGATTACTCTACTGGCAAGGATCTCATTCAGATTAGATGGAGAAATCAAAAGCTTTACAGACAAGCAAAAGCTAAGAGAATCCAGCACCACCAAACCAGCTCTACAACAAATGCTAAAGGAACTTCTCTAAGCGGGAAACACAAGAGAAGAAAAGGACCTACAAAAACAAACCCAAAACAATTAAGAAAATGGTCATAGGAACATACATATCGATAATTACCTTAAATGTTGAGTGGATTAAATGCTCCAACCAAAAGACACAGGCTTGCTGAATGGATACAAAAACAAGACCCATATATATGCTGTCTACAAGAGACCCACTTCAGACCTAGGGACACATACAGACTGAAAGTGAGGGGATGGAAAAAGATATTCCATGCAAATGGAAATCAAAAGAAAGCTGGAGTAGCTATACTCATATCAAATATAATGACTTTAAAATAAAGAATGTTACAAGAGACAAGGAAGGACACTACCTAATGATCAAGGGATCAATCCAAGAAGAAGATATAACAAGTATAAAAATATATGCACCCGGGCTTCCCTTGTGGCGCAGTGGTTCAGAGTCCGCCTGCCGATGCAGGGGACGCAGGTTCGTGCCCCGGTCCGGTGCTGTCTACAAGAGACCCACTTCAGACCTAGGGGCACATACAGACTGAAAGTGAGGGGATGGAAAAAGATATTCCATGCAAATGGAAATCAAAAGAAAGCGGGAGTAGCAATTTACATATCAGATAAAATAGATTTTAAAAGAAAGAATGTTACAAGACACAAGGAAGGACACTACATAATGATCAAGGGATCAATCCAAGAAGAAGATATAACAATTATAAATATATAGGCACCCAATATAGGAGCACCTCAATACATAAGGCAACTGCTAACAGCTATAAAAGAGGAAATCGAAAGTAATACAATCATAGTGGGGGACTTTAACACCTCACTTACACTAATGGAGAGATCATCCAAAATGAAAATAAAAAAGGAAACAGAAGCTTTAAATGACACAACAGACCAGATAGATTTAATTGATATTTATAGGACATTCCATCCAAAAACAGCAGATTACACTTTCTTCTCAAGTGTGCACAGAACATTCTCCAGGATAGATCACATCTTGGGTCACAAATCAAGCCTCAGTAAGTTTAAGAAAATTGAAATCA